ACTACGCTATTTAAAACTGCAACCCCACCTGACTCTGGGAGTCCCCACTTCCTGTTCTATTTACTTTTCCAAAGAACTTGTCATCTTTGAACATTGTACATAATTTAATTAATTTATTGTCACCCCCCCCATTAGAAATAAACAATTCACAAAGTCAGAAATTCTTTCCTGCTTTGTTCTCCAGTGTTGCCCAGCACCCAGACCTAGCATGCAGAAGACACTCAAATTATACTGTTGACTGAGAGAATGAATAAAGAATACTTCAATGAGTATTTCTAAAATTTTAGTATACATATTTTTATGGCATTTCATTAATAATGTAAATTTCTGGGTTTTAATACATGCCTCCTAAATCACAAATTTTGAAGATCAGACTCAAGAATATGCACCTCTCATAGACTTTCTAGCTAAATCTGATGCAGGTGATTTGAAACCACACTTAGAGAAACAGTTTGGGAGACTACTTGCAATCAGTTAACAAAGGATGCTGGAGAAATGTATTCCTTACCCTAACAAGCTTTCTCTCCTTGTACATTCCTTCTCTCTACCAAGAAGGCCATATCTTCCCTATGTCACATTTTTATTTCTATCCTTTTTCCATGTGATGAAATATGTGCTTGATGCAATTACCATCTCCCATCCGTTCATATATCAAATATTTCCTAACACTTCAAAACTACTGCATCTTTAGTACTAGTAATGCATGTGTTGGTCTTAGCTACAGATGACATGCCATAAATAAGTAACTATCAAGTTTCTTTCAAAAAGATTAATAGGAAAATGAAGAAATGTATAAGGATTTATTATTTATGTTAAAAGCTTTCTAAAATCTCTAGCTAACATAAAAGGAAAACATTTGGCTTTTGACCCCCTCCCTTATCCAGTGTCTTATTAAGTCAGAGAAAGTGGGTCATAGCACAAAATCCTGAGAGTGCTGAAGATCTCACAGAGCCCTCTTCCCTGCCTGCATGAGATTTAATTCCAATCCTAGGAAATGCTAAGTTCTCTCCTCCTCTACCTGAAATGATGTTCCTATTTGATGCTCTCAAAGCTTTGTTCAAACTTAGCTTAAATATCTCCTTTTCAGTAATGCCTTTTCTAATCATCCAATCTAAATAAACTAGCCATCCAACCAAGATCTCACATCTTGATATTTTTCTTATTTATTTGTTGCCTGTCTGTTAATCCATTCCCTTCGCAGAAATCACCCATGAAGGCAGGTCACACAGCTCCGTGTCTCAAGTGCATGGACATGTCCTGGGCATGCCCTTGACACACAACTGACAGAAGAATTGTTTTCAAAATAACACAGGCACAGAGAAAGGAGTGCAGAACACAGTGATGGGGAGGAAAAGCTGGGAAGGCTTTAGATAGAGAGACAAGTTATAGTAACACAGGGTACCTGCTGTGACTGAGGTATGAGAATGCTCTAGGGGAACGGCAAGGATGGGGGGGACATCTGAGTGACGGCGACAGGAAGCACGTTCATGCTGGCAGGATGCTCCGTGTACGCAAAACCTTACTTTGAAAGACATGGATCCTGCATTAGTACAAGAAACTGGAGGATTAAAAGCCTGAAGCGACCACGCCCCTCACACCGCGACTGCCTGGGAAGGTGGCAGCGCCAGGGCACACCCTGCGCTGCAGCCCAGAGCCAGGGCTGCCGGGGCGGGGCGAGCCCGCCAGGAGCAGTCCACGATGACGAGGCCAGAAGTGCAGGGCAAGGGGTACGTACTGTGTGTTTGAGAACTTAATTTTATTCAAAGATGGGGGGAGGAGGGAAACCTAAGGTCTCGCCCCTTTAAAACAAGCACAGATGCCCTGCGGCGTGGGAAGCACAAGTTTCAGGAGCCCGTGGAAGGCTCTGTGAAGTGGGCTTCTCTGTGGTCCCGCAGCCTCCCCCCTCCCCAGTCCTGCTCTTTCTAAACACGTGTTCTCTTCCAGTACGCAGGGCTCTCTGCCGGATGGGAAAGTTTGAGAAAGACATGTGTGTTATCCCATGAGATGAGGGAAGGGGTCTGAAGGAACACTAAGAGAGTTTCATCCAGTATGAACCCCCTATGTTTACTCCCTGATAAAGTTAGAACACAAACAAGCAGAATTATTTGGGGGAAAAAGTGCACTTGCTGTAGTATATTTGAGCTCGACATTTCTTGCCAGCCACCTAGGCTGCCAGCTAACAGACAGCCTATATTCCTGGCTCCCCCATGGGTGTGTGGTGCTGGGTGGGGCTCTTGGACCCCCACACTAAGGTCAGTCATGGTCCTCAGCCATGGAAAGTGTATAGGAAAACGGGCAGAAAAAACTTTAGTTCCAGGGGCCTTAAAAACAAGTAACACACAGGAAAATAATTTCCTTTATTGTGTTAGTGTAACACGAGACAAAGGTAAGAGACTTAAGAGTAATGGCTCAGATCTTCGTACAGCTGCTAAACGAAGACGGTACTGCCAGACTTGTGGATTTAAGAAGCTGTTTCTGGGATTCCTTCCAAACCCATTATCTGAAGAGGAATTTATCCAAATGGAACGTCCTATCATCCGCTAAGCTATGTTTATTTCCTGATATCATGGAATGTTAGAGCCTGAAGGTATCTCAAATGTACGGACCTTTTAGTCCAACTCGTGTTACAGATGTAGAAACTGAGGCCGAAGGAGGCTAGGAAGTCAACCATCAGTGAAAACACAGCTCATTATTGGATAACTCAGAAATACTAGAAAATGTGTTTTATATAACACTTAGATAATTTAAATAATAACTTAAATAATTAATAGTTAAATAATGATAAAGTCAGCTGCCAGAACATCTCCTCCCTGGGTGCTTCTCCTTCTCCACAGAAAAGCTTACAATCCCTTCAGCGTACCCCTTGTCTTTCTTTATAGTTTTATCACAGAGACGTTTCCCTAAATATATACTATTTAATCTTTCTCATCGTCGAACATGACATAAAATGGCTCATCGTATTAATTCTTCAGTGATTCATTCTTTTCATTCAATTCATTCACATCTAGTTTTGCTGCCGCTCATTCACCTCCCTGCTACAGAGATGTTCTAATGTATGAATGCAACAATTTATTCATTTTAATACCAATGAATAAGCAACATTACCCACCACTATTGTGCTATTGTGAGCAATTTTAGTAAACGACTTCTGGTGCACAACGAAGAGTGAAACTGCTGGGTCGTAAAAAAATCTGCATATTTAAGTCATAGCACCAAAGTGTTTTCTCAAAAAGCTGTGCAAATTTTCACTCCCATCAACAGCTGAAACTTGGTCCTTTGCTCTGGCTTTTGCCAAAATCTGAGATTTTCAGGTTTTTAAAATTAGGCCAATCTGGTGAGTGTGAGGTGGTATTTCATTGTGTGTTTTATTTGATGTTCTCTGATTACAAATGAGACTAAGCATCTCATATATTTTTATTAGCCAGTCAGGTTCCTGCATTCGCATGTGCTTATTCAGGTCTTTTGCACAATTATACTGGATGTGTTTTTTTACTGACATGTACAAGTGTTTTTTTTATATTCTAGATGCTAAACTCTGGCGTGGTTCACAGGTACTGCAAACAGGAAGCCTTCTGATGATCGAAAGTTCTTCATTTCGATTAAATCATATTTATTTAGCTATTTCTGTATGTCCTAAGAAACTTGTCTTTATCCTCAAAGTAATAAAATAATGTCAGTTTGGTGTCTTCCTTTCTAAAGTTTTATACTTTTTTGGCTAAATCACATGTATGAGCAGTCCATTAGGGAACAGGTGGCACCTTTTCTGTGTTTAAATATTAAGTGTTTAAATGTTATGTATGATGTTTATTGAAAATGCCTTTAATCTTGCCCTTTTTTGGCTTCTATCATGAGGATTATGGAAAAGTTTGCATCTGTTGAGAGGGATTTTTCTCCTATAATCAGCTAATGTTGTGAATCGCATTCACAGGTGTCCTATTTAATTTCTAAATAAAGGCAACCTGCTTGTGAAACAGGACCGTTCATACCTTGTTAGAATCGGCTGCAAATTTTTTTGCTTAAATTTTTGCACCTGTGGTCATGGTGAGCCTGTGTGTATCGTTTCCTTCTCATGCTGTCCCAGGTTTTAGAATTGAGACTGTCCAGCCTTCCTTCCAAAGTGAACTGAAGAGTGCCTCCCTTTTGCCATAATCAAAACAAGAATTTTTCGGAATCTGAATTGGAACCATTTGATTCCTGAGTGTGTGGAGGAAGCTGCCTGACCTGCGGTAAATGCCGTTTAAATCTAATACACGTATTTTCCACTTATTTTGCTCTTCTTCCTTCTTGCATCTAGACCTTCCATCTTGGATCTGAGAAAACTTTCTCCCTGAAGTGCTTTCTGAAAATACTTCCTTAAGGATTTCTTTCTCCTGCCAATGTCATAGTCAGGGCTCACCCAGACGCAGAACTAGCGGGAGATTTAACAGACGGACAGACAGACAGACACACGAGATTTATTACAAGGAACCAGCTGACGTGACTATGAAGGCTGGCCAGGCAGGCCTGAAGTTCCCAGGACGGGCAGCAGGTGAGACGGTGGCAGCTGCAGCCCCGGGGCAGGGACGACGCTGCCGTCCACAGGCGGAAGCCTCTCTTCCAGGAAAACCTCAGAGGCCCCCACCTGATTCAGACGGGCCCCCCAGGTTACCCCGGATACGCTTCCTTGTTTAAAGCCAAATGACTGAGGGTGGAAGTTATGTATGTAAGACACCTTCACAGCAACACCCAGGGCAGCAGCTGAGTAACTGGGAGCCGCGGCCCAGCCGAGCAGACACCGTCACAGCCGCGCAGAGGGCAAGCTGAATTTCTGCAGGCCACGCTTCCACGGCACTGTCGCCGGGCACGTCCGCTGGCGCCGGGCCCTGGGAACTCTTCTCAGCACTGGAGGCGCAGCAGTGTCCGCCGCCCTCCGCGGCTGGGGCGGGGTCCCCCGTCAGTACGCTGCGCTTTGGAAGTAATCCGTCTTTTATTTTTCTTACATTTCCTCTTTATTAAATATCTTAGAGCTGACTACGCTGTGTGAATGAAGGTCTCTTCTGGTTTCCTCAGTTTCGAGATGTGGGATCTCCCACATCTATCCAGCGCTGCGTTTCACTGGTCCTGGCCCTGCCCCTTCAGCGCTCGCTCCTCTGCTTCTGGCCGCTCCTTGAGAGCTGACCTAAGGATTTCAGACGTTTCCACTCTACCCTTCATGTCCACATACCTCTTACATTTTCTGCCTCTTCACCTCTCTGTACTACATTCTGGATAATTTTCTTTTCAGATATATCTTCCGGTTCAGCAAGTCTCTCTTCAGTTAGATCTGATGGGCTATTAAACCCATCAGTTTCTTTGAATTTAGATTACATGCTTCCTTACCAGAAGTTTATTTGCTGTATGTTTAAAAATTGGCTTCACAGTCTTTAAAGTTTTTATGCCCTGAACATTTTTAAAGCTTGTCTTTTATTTCTTTGGACATCTTAACCATAGCTGTTTTATAGTCTGCTTCTGATAATGCCAGTATCTGAAGTCTTTGCAAGTCAGTTCCTGTCTGCTATTTCTGCCAGTTCTCATTCGTGATTTGTTTCCCTGGACGTTTAATGACTTTAACCAGTGAAACTTGTCTTTGGGACTTTAGCTGGGAGAATTCTTTGATGCCTGGATGAAGGTTCTCGAGAGAGGGTGAGTGCCTGCTTCTGCCTGGAGCCCAGGGGCACCAACAGTTCAGAATCTCTTTACCCTTGGCTTGAGTTTTGTCAGAGCAAGTCAGAAGTTATTAATTCAGGCTTCACGTTCCCGTGCACGCTGGTGTGTGGAAGCTTCTCAGTAGCGCTTTTTCCTCACCCCCCAACTCGGCTTCGGATGTACAATCCCCAAGACACAGACACAGCCGGGGAGGGGCACCGCTGTTTCCTGTTTATCTTTATGCTGGGTCTTCCCAGGTTGATGGGAGCTGAGTCTCCTGTGACACGTCTCAGCTTGGAGAGTCAGCACTGGCCTTTGTCTCCTGTCCCCTCACCACAAACCATCTTCTAAATCCTGCATTTTAGATGGTTTCAGTACCTGAGTCAGCACTGGGCCCTTCCCCGCCACACTGCCAGAAATAAAGCTGACTTTAACTCTTACCTTTATATTAGATGCGTCTCTCCTGAGTTCATGGCTCTAAATTTTGATGCATAAGAACTGCCAATGAACAGAGGACCTGGGTAGTTCTTGACCCATAGTCGATCACAACAAACTCAGAGTAATAACTACTCCTCATTTGTACTATTAAATATTTTCCTATTCTTTCAGAAAAATCAGTAGTGCCTTTGAGAATTCATCTATGTTGATATGTTTTTACCAACTGATTCTTATTTTGTTTTTCCTTTTTTCCCCAAGCTTTAGTGAAGTTGGACTGCTATACCAAAAACTGCATATAATTAATGCAGACAACTTGGTGTGCTGGGACGTATGTACACACTCCTGCTACCACCACAGCAATCCAGGTAACAGACATACCCATCAGCTCCAAAGGTTTCCTTGTATCTCTTTGCGTTTCTGTTTGTGGTAAGAACATTAGCATGAGATTCACTCTCTTCACACATTTTAAGTGTACAATACTATCTTGTACAGCAGATTGCTGGAACTTACTAACCTTTCGAAGTTGTGAAACTCTGTCAACAGAACCTTTTAAATCCTTTCAGGGATACCTTTAAGTATCACTTTCTTGAGTTTCATAAAATTATATCAAGTTCAAGAACATGGTCAATTGTATGTAAAACTGTCCAAGTTGTCCACACCATCAGTTCCACTTTGACTTTCATATTTTACATTTAGGCTTTTTGACCAAATTATACTTCTAAAAAAACCTGCATAGAATATATTTTGTTAACGTAATTGCTCTAAGGATGAGGCAGATCCTGAAATTTACAAGCTCTACAAAGTGTCACGCACGGTCACGGGAGAGCGCACAGGTGTTAACTCACATCGACTTTATCACAACTGTGTGGCAGGTGGCGATGTTGCTACTTTGTAGAAAAAGAGACAGATACTTACGAACAAAAAGCTACGACGTGATAAAGCCCTGGTGTAACCCACACCACCTGACTCCCAAGATACACATGCCTTTTGTAGCTACCTAAAAAAATGACCCCGTGTGAACTTGACCAAAAGATAAGCCTCTAGTTACAGACTCTCATGATAAGAGGGAAGTAGGAAGTTAAATATTCTGCCCAGCCGTTCAGTCCCTGACCCGCACAGAATGTGATCCGCACAACTCAGTTTTGACAGTGGGAGGCAGAACTTGACGGATACAAACACAAAAGGGTACCAGTGTTTAACACAACAAGTGTGCCCTGGACAACCGGCGAGGGGCTGCACCGCGTGGCTGACCACTCAGCACTTACAGACCATTACCCGATCCTCGTTCCAGCCTGGGAACTACTTCAGTGTATATGGGAGCCCTCGAGGATCCGAGAGCTCCAACTGTAACCCACTCCATCCCTGGAAGTTCACAAGACATCTTTGATCCTGAAACCCATCAAACCGGGCTCTTTCTGCTCCTTAAAGCTGTGTATCGGATAAACCTAGGGTAAACCTTCCCGTGCTGGGAGACAGGTATATCCCCCACAGAGCATTTTTCTCACTCACATCATTTTTAAAGCTCCCTCAGAACAGAGATAAACAGTGTTGGACTGGTCACCATGCTGACTTCTTTACTTATCTAATTTGAAGGTTATTTTGAGTTCTTGTCTCTTTCTTCTTGGCCAAAGGAACTGCTATCAGCCCACCAGCTTCTCAAAGGCACTGCTGAGCTGTTATTCACGTCTGTGCCCTGGCCCTGCGCACAGCTGATGACACACCGCAGGTCTTCACTGAACGCCGAATTCAGAGAGCTAACTTTACACTTAAATTGTCATGTGGAATAAGAAAAGTAAGCGTTAAGAACTTACTTTAAATTATTTAAACGGACACTAACCTGGATGAAGAGACTCGCTGTGGCCACACAGTGGGGGGAAGGAAACAGGGCATCTAAACCGCCCGACTTCTGATGTGCAGCTGCTGCTTTTTGAAATCACAATTATACTTGCTGAGCCAGACATCCAGATGCACAGTATGACTGTAGGTTTTTTCTGAACTTTGAATTTGTGATTATGAAAAGTCTTACAACGCTTAAAAAGTACCTTATTTATGAATTGTTTTTACAAGATGGACTACTCTGGTCCTATAAAAACTCAGCACATTTGCCACACGGGTCTACCCCTCCAGGACGACCCTTCTGAGACGCCTTACATCACACGGTCACACTGACGCCCTGCTGGGCGCGGGACCTCTCCTCTCAGACCATTGGCTGAACAGCTTTCGATGAGGAACTTTTTAACAATGAAGTTTAGACACACTTTACAGTGATAAACGTGTTACACATTTCTGTTAGATTCCTGTACCCTTCCGTTACAGAACAAAATGTAGAGGTCCACTCTTACCTGCTTAAAAAGTTGGAGGTTAACTGCAGTTTCCAAGAACTGTTTCATCACACTTGAACGGTGCTTTACAAAACTCTCCTCGCAAAAGGTGATGGGCTCACCCTGGAGAGAAATAAAGGATTTCAGGATGTCAACAGAAAGGCAGAGAGAACCTGTTCACCTAAAGAGAAGCATGGGGCTCACGAGGGAGTGCAAGACAGAACCAGCTTCGAGGGGCTTGGAGTGTGGGGAGCATTGAAAGCAGCACACACATCTGAAAAAGTCCAACAATTATATTTCATCCTGATTAGAAAATAGTCTTACTATAAAAACCACTGCATGATTTTTGCCATTTATAGTATGATTATGCATTTCTTTTTAAATTAATTAAACAATTGTCAATCACATTCTCTTGGCGATTGCAAATACAATTCGGACTGGGTACTTTCTGAGACAAGTCCCACATGGCATCTGCCTTAATTGATCCTATTTGCTAAGTAATCACCACTTTGCAAATGTCTTGTGGTGGCTGAGCCCCCGTTAGATGTTCCTCCTTCAAGTAACAAGGACTCTAATTCGAAACACAGATCCACTTGTCCCGTGGATCCCATGCATGACTTCAGAGCCTGTCCCTCACTGGTGGGTCCCTGCCACCTGCTGTTTCCCTCAACAGCCTGAAGGGTCCTTTGGCCCATTCGATACAGATGAAGGTAAGTGACTGGACTTTACGATCAAAGTGAAAACAGATTAGTGACAATGATTCGGTCCTTATAGTAGACCTTGTAGCAATCTTTACACTGCAGCAAAAAGGAAAAAAGAGTTTGTCTACTTTAATAAAGAAACTTTAGAAAAATAACGATTATGATTTAATTTTAAGGAAGCATCAATGCCTTGATTCTAGGTAGTTTTAAGGAAAATTCTGAAAACTGGTTCCTGCATGAACAGAGTAAAACGACCAAATCTCTGTAATCCAAGCAAATCACTGTCTGATGGAAGTTAAAGACACCACAGAACCACACTGTTCCACGCGGCAGCCATTAGTCCCATGGAGCTATTTAAATTTAAATGTATTAAAATTAAAGCTAAATTCAGTTCCTCAGTCACACCAGCCACATTTGAAATACTCAGTGGCCACAAGTGCCTAGTGGCTCCTGAATCAGACAGCACAGATACAGAGTATTTCCTTCATCACAAAAAGTCCTCTTGGACAGCTTGCTGTAGAAGAGAGAAAATAAAATGCAAATAAAGTATTAGAGAAGATAATTAGATAATTTGCTAATTGGTGTCACCTATACCACCAGCCAGAAGCCAATGAGCCATAACAAAACTAACATCACACACTTTCGTATTGACTGTTGCCACTCTTAAGTGCTTTAGAATGACTTTTAAATACCTATTTTAAAAATTGGATTAATTTACAGAAATATACTTTGGATAATCAAAAACATACCTTATTTGCCACTATCACAGAACTTACAATCTGATGGGGAGAAAACAACAAACAAGCAAATCCATTAAAGGTAAAGATCTGTTGTTTTGTATCAGCAATACACCCGGTTACACTGGGAGCCCAACGAACACTTTATAAGTGAATAAGCGAAACAGCAAGTGAGTTTAAGTCTTGCTCCATATGACACGTTGGCTTCTCAAAAGCAAATACAGATTTTAAAAATAAACAAAATCACTGCCTCTAACGGCAGTTCCAACTACATCACTGCTATGACAAAGAAATCAGTACGACTGAAAATTTTAGCTTTTTTTTGATAGATTTTTCCCCAGACGTGTGAGAGAGATTTTATTACCACCATGATTTGTCTAAAAGTTGTCGTTAACACTGCAGAACAGTGTTGGATTCAAACACAAACTCACGGTTACCAGAGGGAGAAGGGGTGGGAAGGGATAAACTGGGGGCTCAAGATTTGCAGGTACTAACTAATGTATATATCAAACAGATAAACAACAAGTTCCTTCTGTACAGCACAGGGAACTAAATTCAGTATCTTATAGTAACCTATGGTGAAAAAGAGCATGAAAACGAATATACGCATGTTCATGTATGACTGAAGCACCGTGCTGTACACCAGAAACTGACACAGCCTACTAAACTGACCATACTTCAATTAAAAAAAAAGTTCTATCTCCAACTGAACACTTCAGACGTCCTGTTCCGAGCAGGAGTATCTTCTGGCTGGAGGGCGGGGAGGGCAGGGGCAGAGGGTGTCCAGGCAAGGGAGGGGGAGGGGAGCTAAGTCGACCTGTGCTCTCTCAAGGGTCAGGCATAACTTAGTCGCTAGCCAATGAGAACTACCCTGCCCTCATTAATCTTCCAGCAATTGCCGCCATCTTTCAAGAGAAGGAGCAAGGAGAAAGCTCAGATTTGCTGTCCACCCATTTTTGATGGCACCAGTCATGCTCAGAGCTTCCAATGAACCTCCTACAACTGACAGTTTGTTCACTACGAGTCTTAATGATAATGAGGAAGACACATCTTAGAATCTTCTCTCAGGGGAAAGTAAGTCTGGATTAACAACGCTGTCAAGCTTTCTATATTAACACACAAGAATCTCAATCACTGCCACCCTGGGGGTGTGTCCTAGGAGGCAGACAGTAAACGACTCCCCACGCGAGTCCCTGTAAGTCCCAGGCGAGCTGAAGGGCGTGGTGAGAAGGAACTCTGCTGAGGCTCTTCTGATTTACTGAGGATCTGATTACAGGCTGGGATTAGGACTGAGTGCTTCTCAGAAACTGTCCGTTTCCAAGGGAGGAGGCTTTATGCCCAGTGCTGCCCGTAAATCCGCAGCGCACGCCTGCAGGATGGAAGGTTTAACATGGGGGCAACCGTGGCTCCACCGCGGGAGCGGGAGCTGGTTTTGAAAACAAACGGAAGCTTCACAACACCGACATGGAAAAGGCATGTGGACAGGAAGTGGCGGGTGAGTCTGGAGACGGCACGGATCAGTGGCAGCACCACAGCGAGGCAATGGAAGGCCGGCTGAGGCCTAGTGGCCAACGGAGCAAGCGACAGACAGTCCCAGAGGGAAGGAGGACTGGAAGAGGTTAGACTGTCTTTAAGAAGGGCTACGTCTCAGGTTCTATATCGTCCTCTGGAACAGGAAACTTGACAAAAAAAAAAAAAGAAAAAAGTCCAAAACAACAGACAGTCTTCACGCTTTAAGGTGCACGACTTAGCAAAAGTTCACAGTGCAAAAAAGTTACGGCATCAGGAAGAGTATTGCCGTACAAACAGGTGCAACACAGCCCGAAGTGTCCGCGCGCTGCTTGCTCTTTCCCCTAATGCGTTCGGACTTAACGTGCAAACTCACCGTTATGTAAGCATGTAAACAAGCTAAGCAAAAAAGTCTGCGCAGCGACGGCTTATTTAAACTGTTAAATCTCTGAGAGATTCTGCTCCCAGCTCTCTCATGGGAATATTAAAATATATTTAGGTTCTAACAGGAAACAGGAATGAAAGATTTTTTCCGGGTTAGACAGCATTTTTCTTCCAAGTGTGCCACTGCTACGACTATGGAAGGTGCTGCCCGTTTACTCCTAGAGCTGAGGAACCACGAACAGAATACGTTCTCCTACTGCTGAAAATCATTCACAGAAAAATCTCATTCAAATCATAAACTTTAGTCATTATTAATAGCAAACATCTTATGTACACATATGAACTTCTCCTAAAGTTATCAGATACGTCTTGAAAAAATGTAGGTTTCAGTGTTGCATTTGGCTATGATTCTGCAAATTAAGGTGGGAAAAGAAATTGATCTTTCTAGACAGCTGTTTTTAGCACTTTGGTCAAACTTGCACACTTTAAAAGATTAATTAATTTATGTATCAATGTTACACATACTATGAAAAAAATACACCTTTTCTTCCCCAGATTTGAAGGAAGAAGAGTCTCTATTCTATGAAACACACGACCAGTGATGTCAAGACGGAACCCTCACTACCCCAACCTCGGCCCTCCTGCCTCGTGCCAGTGGTGCACAACTTTTACACATTTTCGCCAAAAAAAGTTGAGCAAAATTTCCTCCCTGCTGATATAAAAACGAGAGAGTGCTGTAAAGGCAAGCACGTTCCATGAGGATGCCAAATCCACAGCAGATATCCCTCGTGTAGAAACCATCTACAGAGTGAAAGGCATCCACTCGAGCTCGGGTGACGGGTGAGCTTCAGTCACCATCACACCGAGAGGGATGAGTAAACAAGCTTTCCAGCTTGGATTTTAAAATCTCTAACAAGCTGGCAGTTACAAATGTGCTAGATGGCAGCTTTAAGGTGAAGATTCAGTAAATGGCCATTTAACTTATGAACGTCAATCCTCCACTTAAACTGCCTGGACTTGATCACAAAATATTACTTACTGATAATGTTTTAAAGAAATCCAATACGAAAAAATTTCTGGAAGACAACTCCTCCAGCTCCTCCAGCAGCGGCCCTGATGACTAACTCATCTTTATTTTAAAAAGAATTCCCTTCTTATCCATTAGCAAGATTCACGGCAGCCCAGAAAAGCTTGAGCGCTTGAAACAAATGACATTGTATCCTAAATACTCAGAGGAATAGATTTAAGTATCATTTCCATGCTCTTAGGGTAACAAAGTGTATGCTTTTGAATAAATTAAGCAACATTTTAACTCAAACTTTTTTTAGCACTAGAAGCGGAGCTTGTGATATAAATGATAGACAGAGATACAACTGACGCCCCTTTATCAGTTATTTAGTGTAATCATTTAAAAATGCTCTCATGTTTATGACAATGTTCATCTTTTCGAGGATCAAGGAGGGTACTTTAGTTTATGTGAAAGGAATTTTCCTTACCAAATTTACTTCATTTTTAATGATCATAGCTAATACAGAGAGCGTTACCTATATGCCAGGCACTGTTCTAAGTAGCTTACATATATGAACTCATTTTATCCTCTAAATAACCCAAGAAGTATTATTACCCCCTTTTTTTTTAACATGTGAGGAAACTAAAGCACTAAGAGGGTAACCTGCCGAAAGTCGTCCACTGTCACAGAATGAGGAGTCAGACCCAAGCGATCTGGTTTCAGGGTCTGCACCCTTATCACTGTCCTTCAATTTATTTAGCACATTAGTTTGATCTTCCATTTTTGAATTTTTAAAACGTAGCTAACTTGCTGCTGGCTAAAATCCAAAAGCAGCAGAATTGTTTTATTTAAATCACTTTCCAGAAACTTTAAGGAGTTTTGTCATTTTCTCTGTAATTACGAGCAGGTACAACTGATTTGTCAGTCGTGCCGGCGTGTCACTCAGAGAGTGTAGACTGGGCACTATGAGAAAAGCAGCGTGTTAGGAGTGGCCACTCAGACGTCCTAAGTGCTTATTTTATAAAATAAGTTACTCTTCGGCAGTATTTAGCAGGTGTATTTGAAAATGAATATTCAGATCATCCTGAGGGGCTTCCCTCCCAGTCGACATCCGACTGGCTCCCCGGTGCCACCACAGGGGACCGGACAGAAGAGGGCAGTGGTCTGAGTGGTGGCGGTCACCCCAGGAGACAAAGCTACGCATGGAACTTACAGCAGGAACAACAGCCTCCCCAGTTTACACACACACGGTGAGACGTCTACACCAGGTGCTCCTTTTGAGAGAGTTCCTAAGATTTTGTATCGTTTGGTCAGTCTGTACATAAACATACACTGCGTGTCTTCCTGCATCTTCATTTAGAAGACATGCATGTCCAGAACACTTACCTCAAGGAGCATGTGATAGGCCAACAGGGCCGAATGGAGGGGGACCACTCCACACAGAGCAAGAGCAGGCCTGTGGACGGAACGGATCCAGACCCAGACCCCACAGGTCACTAGCTGGGAAACTTATTCAAGTTTTTAAAAGTCTATAAGCATCAGTTTTCTTGTCCTTAAAATGAAAAGGGTAATATTTTGAAGGCTTGTAAAGATCAAATGAGAGAGTTTATTTAAAGGGCCCCTCAGTGCCTGGTACCCAGTGGGCTTCCAGTTGTTATTGTTATTAATTGTTTTTATCGTTTTAATAACAGTGGATAAATCATTAACATCAGCAAAAATAATAACATAAGAACTATAATAAATAACATATAAAAAAGGAAGAGGAATGTGTTAAAGGAAGTAAACCTAATCAATCCATAGAAAGAAGGGGTCTGTATGAACTACAGCCTCAAAGACCAGGGAGAGACCAGATGCCGCTGAAGCCAGAACGATAAGAGCACGGCCAGGAAGAAAGAACACGCGAACCAAGGGTCTGGGAGCCTGGGGAGCCTGGGCATTTGGAGCCTCCGGCAGAATTCTCTAAATTGAGGTCAAAGATTAGGAAAAAAAGTAAAAGCAGACGGACGGCCTGCCCATCGTAAGGGCCCTGCCTGGCAGGAGGAGGGAGGGCCCTGGGGCTGGTCCGTCACAGACCTCACCGACAGGTGCAGTTCTGTCAAACGCAGGGAAGCAGTGGCTCATTTTTATACGTGTCTAAACAATCATGACATGTTGAAAAGTAATGTCTAGTTAAAAAATTCGTATAATTTAAAGCTACTTTGTAGCCCTGCCCCTTCCAGCCGTCGTCCAGGAGCTACGGGATGCGACTGGAGTGCACTCGTGGGGAAAAGAGACAAAACCACGAAATCATCATGACTTCTAAACTTGGCTTCCTTCCTCCAGATCAATTAGAAAACATACCAAAGATACATGTCTACTAGATAAACGTCCAAAAAGAGTGCACGGAACAAAAAGCAAACATGCTGTCAGTAAAGAAGAATCAGGGTAATCTGCAAAGATCACGCCTAAAACAGCAGCACGTTTTGTCTACAATATATTTTATATACAATACATAAATAATTCTCCTTCAAAATGATTTATTTTGAAAATATATAGAAAAAAATGTCTAAATACATTCAGTATACTTTTTAAAACTTGAGCTTTCATTCAAAGCTGAGTCAAAAGAAACATGGATGCATACGGGACGAAAGTACTGTGCCCTAACTCCCAGAAAGGACCAGCAGTCAAAAAGGAAGAAGAAAACATCAAGCACAAAAAGGAAAAATGTAAGTAAGTTAGCCAATACATTGATAAGATGTGAGCAACAAACAGGAGAGCTAGTCTCTGACAAAATTATATCTTTTCCCACAGAGACTGAGACTCTGGCTCTGAAAGATGTTTAAAAAGAAGTCAAAGTCATTGAAATCTTGCACTCCTATCTGCTCAATTAAGCTCAAACAGGGAGAAAATTAAGCCACAAAAACTACAGTAATAAATGTTAAAGATGGGATATTTTTATAATCTTAACCGGCACTTAACACCAATCATTTAAATCATTTATAAAAATTTTCCCATCAGTACACTCTTCCCAAATCGAAAGGCTTTTGCAAATTTAAAAAGGGAAAGAAAAAGGTAGCCAATAAAGTCAACAATTATTTAAATGTGGCAAAATTCAAGCAAAGTGATACTTTAAACTTTCTTCCTGTACTGTACACTTAAAACCAACCTCTCTTCCTCAAAATTTGGTAACTAAAATCAATCACTGATTTTGTCTTTCAGACTCATTCTTGTTTCAATGGACGTTCAACAGCTTTGATGACTATGACCTACTGCAGGATGGGTGACTGGTTTCCAGTCTTTCAAAGAATGAGACCCTGTAACTGTAAAAATTTTTGGAGACTCCCCCATGTGAGAAACGCATACTATGTGCAGTCCTACGAGTTCCAGATCATGTTTTTTAAATGTACACGTTTCAAAAAGATCAGCATGCAGATTAGACATGTGTACTTTTCTAGAGACAGGAGCCCGTCAGTCTGAGGGTTTGTCCTGATAGCTCATTACTCCTCAGCAACAGAAGAGAAGCCACTGGGAGGGAGCTGCTGATATGGAAGTCAGTTTAGAAAGCGTCTCACCCGTTCACACGTACTCAGCGCTCCACAGTTTACGGCAGGACTCAAAGCAATCCTGAGAGGCAGACAGGGAAGGTACGAGAGTTCTCCTTTCACAAAGTAGAAGACGGACGCCTCGAGACTAAGGAGACGGGCTGGGGTCACACAGCTCACTGGTGATGAAATCCCCATGTGATAACAGGCCTTAAGACTTATTACTAATTCAGTATTTTTAATCCATTGCAACTTATTCATCTGGTCATGAAAGGGCCTTGGAATCACCTTCATAAAATCAGACTCACATACTTTACCAGCAGTTCAGAGAGAGAAACAAATATATTTTGATTTATACCTTTCTGGACTATCTAACTACTTGGCTACAATTCTACGTAATAATCATTTGGGGGGTATTAAAACAAAAAAGCAATGGCAAGATGAGCTAGGATATGCTCCTTAGACAAGCCCACTTAGAAAAGGCTTATGAATTAGCAAGACAATAAAGGTCCAAATACTGCAAAATTTTCGATTGCTAATGTTTTTAAACTTCTGTGTTACATTTGTCATTTCTAAACTCTAATCTAATAAACCCAATCATCTGGCTAATTTCTTAACAACCTTAACAAGATTGAACAGAGTTACTCTAAAATGCATTAGCGCCATTCATTAATTAGTGAAGAGGTAAGTATTCCAACTTTAGCACCACAAACAAGGTGACATGGGAAAGAATATGGGAAACACTAACTGAAGATTGCTTGAAAGAACTCAAACCAGGAGTCAAGAAACTGGAGATGCAAGGTAATGTTTCACAGCATATTACGTGGGATTTTAAAAATCTTCATGATACTTTTTAAAGGGTGTGCTATTAAGCCGCTTCTTTCTCTGCCCATTCCAAAGAATCACAAAAAGCAAACTCAAGAAGTGATGAAATAGAGCGCTTACAGGTTTGTATCTCAGTGCATCTCTGTAGGATCCAAACAAAGCAGCCTGAGCCCTGAGGAAGGCCCTGGCCACTCCATCTCCCGTAGCTGTGGACTGCTTCTTCAGTTTGTTTTTCAGGGCCGAGACCTGCGTGACGGAGAGGAACAGTTAAATTAACACCTCGGAAATTGGTACAGCGAGGTACGAACCCAATCAGGAGGCACACCGCAGTGTCTGCAGGTCAGCCCGAACCTCATCCTCCTCCCTGGGAGCTTATCTCTGCCTCCGCGGAGGGCACCTGCTGCTCTGTTAATTGAAAGGAAGGCAGGGGCCCACGGTAATGTGCTAATGCAAATTGGTTTATGCTCTCTTTTTTCCCAAGGCCTCTTGACATAAATAAGCTTTAATTATTTTACAGTAAACTGCTTGGGAGCCACCTTCCCGCAGATTTTTAGCAATTACAACACGCGTCTCCTTGTTTTGGGATGAAGCCGGCTGGGTGTCGTTCATTTCTGCTACGTAAGGTTATTCGTTACAGGTCCTCCAGGATCACTTACTATTTAATTTTACTTTTGGAAGCCTCATTTGTATATGCAATTTTCCCATCATTTGTTGGAATAGTTTTCACCATTATTAGGGGAGAAGAGGGGAGAGAGGTTAAGGTACAGAGAACCTACCAAGGGCAGAGAATTGCGTTCTGCACTCACACACTGCCCCATCTCATCTCCAGTCTCCACGAAAGGTACTCATGTTTACAAATGAAGAAATAGGGGCTCAAACATGTGAATCAATTTGCCTTCAATACGTGCTACTAAGTGGAAAAACTGAGATTTCAATCCAGTTCTGTCCAGTTTTTCCCACAACCACATGCAGGATTTGAAATCAATGTTATTGCTTTATGAACCAGTACTCATATTAATACGTTAATGTTTTTAAATCAAAGAAAAACTTATTATCTAGGAATCTGCATAATTTTAAAAGGCACCTAAATTTGTTATACTTTCTCATACATTTCCATCCTTTAACTTCAGGTTCCGTGTACTTTAGAGAACGTGTATTATTTATGGATAGATTTTACTTAGATGAATATTTTCTAAATGTCATCAGACTCCCGAAGTATAACTCTTATTTTTAAGGGGGAGGTGATGTGATATGTTCCTATGCATCCAAGTCATTTAACCAATTCCTTTCACACATAATAAAAAAACTACCCTCTGTATACTTAAAAAATACTATCAATGCTCATATACATTCCTTATCAATGCTTTACATGGGGATATGAAGTCATGTAAAAGTTCTTTTTTCTTAAGAAAAAAACTGATGGGACAAATTCTGGGTGGAATGGCCCCTTATCAGAGCATGGTCTCATCCTTACACTACCAAACAACAAAATAAGGTCATTTCTCCTTTACATAGACATGCAAGAAGAAATATGTCTACTTCTTTACACAGGCAGTCCTGACTTCTCTTGTAGATGAAGACTGTAATTGAAGTGTCAACCTAATTAACAACTGAACTTCGAGTAATGCTAATGAGAAGTGAGCACAGCACCAGAGGAAGGGCCAGCTCTACAGGTGACAAACCTTCACGGTAGTGACATTTTCCAGTGTAAAGTCACAGTTACTGTGATCTGATCAAAGAAAGAGACCCCCATTGGGTCCAATTATAACCATAGTTTTGAAAAAAATTATTGAGTTATGATGTTCATAATCTATGCAGAAAGGCCTCTGCAGTATAGGTCTTCCCGCACAGCTGTGATCTTTTCAATTTATATCCAAGCTCCGCAGATTCAGATAAAAGTTTAGAGCCTAATTCATTTAGCCCACAAAGTGCATAAACCAGGGTTCATTTAAGAGGAAGTTTTTATTATTAAAATCTAACCTCAATAAACGCACATTTTTACGTAACCCACATATTCAAAAATAAACGCAGCTAAAGGATGTAAAAACGAATCTTCTGCCTTAATGCCCGTTATCCTAAATCCTGCTATTTTAAGTTTCAAGTGCCTTTAAAGAAAACCCAATAGGAATGAAAGTCAATACATGTATTTCATTACTGCCCCCAAAAAAGGCTTATGGGGGAAAGAATATGATTCCAGTCTTTCAAAGTACTATAAAAAGAAATGACTGGCTCATTTTTTCGTTTTGCTTTAGAAAATAAGAAAATACGTTTCAAAACGGCATGCCTTGTAGCTCTGCAGAAGAAAATGCCTCTGAGTGCTATTTTCCTACAAAACCCGAAATCGACAGTTCAGTCCCCCACAAATCAAGAAGCCCTGGGACGGTCGTGCCACATGCTCACAGAGACTGGAAGCAAGTCAGACCACCCCGCAGCCTCTGCCACCCCAAGCCCCGGACTGCTTGACGGCTGTGCAAGTTATCCAGGATATTAATCACCCTGGCACAAGCCTTTCCTAACCAAGTCATAAATAGGTAGCCTTCACTTCCAAAATTGGTGAGTGATGAGTCCTGAGTTCCCTCAAGAGCTCTGCGGAAAACGGGAAGGAAAGGAAAAGCCCTGCTCCACAACTCGCTGTCTAACACGGCAGCCACCGCACACGCAAGCGCGGGGAACGCGACTCGTCCGAACTGAGACTTGTGTTAGCGTGAAAAATACACGGGACTTTGAAGACTCAGTACTATAAAAAAGCTAAAAATGCCTAATTTTTATTGATTACATGATGAGAGTACTTTGAACATACTGGGTTAAATAAAACATATTATTAAAAATTCGTTTCACCTATTTCTTTTTATCTTTTAACATGATTACTAGCAAGTTTTTAACTGCAGGCGCGGCTCACGCTGCATTTCTGCTGGACAGCCCTAACCCGCACAAGCATCCTGTCTCACTCCACATAGGCTAACGAACTGCCTAGCGAGGAATAGGGTTACATTTTCCCTTTGCCTGTTTCTAAGTCATTTCAGCCTTTACAAACAGCATGAAGAGTTTTCCCTTGACCTACTCTAGGCAGGCTTCGACTGGCAGTAGATCTGAGGTGGTTCCTGTTTTTCGGAAACCAGAAGGGCAAGTGAGTGAGCCGTTTGTCTATGCACCACGAGTGCTCAAAAATGGCCTGTAAAAAATGAGACGTTTTTAATAGCTCTGGATCTAAGGATATGGCTCTGATAGACAACGCCTGTGTCAACCTTGGCATTTTCCTGTCTTTCAGATCACCAGAGCAAATTATCACCAGTTACCACTGCCCTTTGCAGTGCTAATTAGCTTTTAGCAGTTTTTATCTGTAAGAATGGTGCTGTCTCTTCCACACTTTTTAAATACTTGGTCTGGGGAAACAGCATTTGCTGCTTTAATTTCCAAACTTCCCAGTTCAGTTATGGAGTAAGTGTACCTCTTCCTCTGAGATCCTGAAGTTCATACTCACATACAGCTGAATTCAGAAAGGCATCGGAAACCTTGGTCACATGGCTATCATCACACAATCCTATCATACAGTATCAACTGTTTTCTCTTTTTATTCTTAAGAAAATAAGCTTCAATCTCCAATGGCTAAAGATTACTTCAAAACTGACATTTTATTTTACTATGACGTTCTTTAGCCTGTAAGTAAGCTATTTTTTAAGTCTAATTAGGCACCCTACTAGACCCCCAAAAAAGTTAAACAGTGAACAGAAACTTCAGAACAAATATCATTTCATTGCTCTTATCAAACGTTCAAATTCCTTTCATACAATGAGGATTCAGGTTGTAAGCAGCCGTCCACGGGGGGGGGGACTAGACCCTGCGTCTGAGCGCAGCGGGAGTTCACTGCAACACGAGTTATATTGCTACCGATTCTCCACTTTTACCCTCTTGGCACCAAGTGACTCTGAATAAAAGGAGGGAATTACATGAGTAAACACAGCAAACAGGTATAAATTAAAAGACTGCCAGCCACGTGCACACAGCCTCAGTAATGAAGCAATTATGCCGACCGGGGGTTAGGGAGGGAGGGTACACAAAGGAGCTGAGTTTTCAGAGAAGTAACTGATTTTCCTCTCACTTGATTTTTAGATGTGTCTTTTCAGGAAAAATAAATTGCCCACTATAGCTTAGAAATTTTAATTTTATTTTTTAGGATCACAAAGAGAAACCCCACAGTAAAGAACAGAAGGTAAAAATAAATGTTCAGAAATATCTGCATAACTTGTATGACCTGAAACACCTCTGTGATGCTTTTCAATATCCTTTCACATAACTAAGCTGTACTCTAGAAACATCCTACATTTAGAAAAGTTACTGCTTCAAGTAATTATCTGCTCTAGAAAGAAGTCACAAAGTTAAAATCTTTCATTCTTCCATGAAACATGTTATGGTTATCATATGAATCAGATATTAAATCCCTACACTTCTTTAATCTTCTTCTAATGTTCAATTTCTTAAGAAACAAAATTAACCCTTCCCTCTTAATATAATTTTCTAGCATGCTTCTATTTAAGGATTAAAGCAGTAACCTTTAACATTTATTAAATGAAAAACATATGATTCACTCACAGAGGGTATCATGACATGGTTTCTTTGCCTAAATTACCCATCAAAACCTAACAAATACGGTGTCATCTACAGCTCTTTCCCCTCCAGAGGCATCCGAAAACGAAGACACTCAAAACCGCTCTGACTGCACCTCAGGCCCAGTGTCCTGCCAGCGTCTCTAATACCGGTATCATGCCCACTCATCCACGTCCTCTGCACGTCACCCTGTCTCATCTTCCACAAGCTGGACATCAGCAAGCCCCATCAGTTCGACCTCTGACAGAGATTTCAAATCTGTCCACTTTCCTCCAGATCCCTGCCACCATCAAGTTCAAGCAGCTCTCAGCTCTCACCTAGACACCTCAGACAGTCCCCTGACTGACCCTCCTGCTTCATTTCTGCTTCGTTAGACCCAGTGGTCTTCAGGACCCAGAACCCAAGATGACAGTTTTAGAAGTCAAACTGGATCACGCTGCTATTCCTCTGCTCAAAATCTCCAATGAGTTTCCAATGGAGTCCAAAGGTCCTCAACGAGACCACAGCTCTTTTACAATCTCACGCCTGCCTGTCTGCACCACCTCGCCTGGCGTAAGCCTCTCTTTTGTTCATCTGACTACAGAGATTCAGGGCTTCTTTCCACTTCCTGCCAAGCAGGACCTTTGTATCTGCTGTTCCTC